ATATATATATATATATATATATTGCGTTTATACAACTACATTATAAACAACGAAAAAAAGAGGAAATAATATAAAGAAGAACCAACAACAACAACAACAACATCAGCAATAATAATAATAATAATAACATTACACAAAGGGGTATAGTAAACTCTCATTCTTTTCTTTTCCCTCTTTACCCTCTCTGAGTGTACGTCATTTATCATCGTTATTATCAATTGTCAATTATTATCAATTATCATCATTGTGAATACTATTATCAATCTATTCATTATGTTACTCCCGTTCATTTTGGCTGTTGGCCTTATTCTCTTCACATTGTGGTTTCTCAACGGCGGACGTGAAGTGTTAATGTCTGGCCGCCGCCCACCGACCGCACTGAACAGCACTCAATTCCAATCTTTTCAACTGCAGGAAAAAATTGCCGTGAGCCCCGATTCATATATTTTCCGCTTTGCCCTTCAGTCCCCTCAACACATATTGGGACTTCCTATTGGACAACATATTCAACTTCGCGGTCCTGTTAAAAACGCAGAGGGAAAGGAGGAATCGGTCCAACACGCGTATACTCCAATATCATCTAATGAAGATGTGGGCCATGTGGATTTTCTTATTAAAGTCTATCATAAAAATGTTCATCCAAAGTTCCCCCTTGGTGGACGTCTCTCGCAGTATTTATATCATCTTCCCATTGGCAGTATGATGGAGATGCGAGGACCCATTGGGAGGTTTGAGTATTTAGGCAACGGCCAATACACCCTTAAAGATCCCAGCAGTGGTAAACACACCCAACATCACACCAATGTCTTTACAATGGTGGCAGGAGGAACAGGCATTACACCGTTATTACAACTCATTCGTGCTATTATGCGATCACCGGAGGATCCCACACGTGTGTTTCTCGTGAATGCAAATCGCACAGAGGCGGATATTCTCCTGCGAGAGGAATTAGACGCCTGTGCGAAGGATCCCCGCATACATGTGTGGTATACACTCAGTGGAGACAGTCCCGCAGGGTGGAAGTACAGCACTGGACACATCACAGAGGCCATACTGCGAGAACATGTACCCGTACTGAATGAGAAGAATAATGATAATAAAGATAATAATGAAGATAATAAAGAAGATAAGGAAGAAGAAAAGAAGAAAAAGAAGAATAATAATGGAAATGTATTTGCGGTGATGTGCGGTCCACCCATGATGCTTCGACAAGCGGTGAAGCCGAATTTGGAGAGGTTGGGTTACACCGCAGAGAACATGTTTGAGTTTTAATAGGGCATTTACTCTTTTTCTCTATATAAGTAGAGACTAAAGGGGAGAAATAATAATAAAAAAAAAAAAAAAGAAAAGAAACAGAAAGGAAAGAAAAAAGAAAATAAAAAGGGGGATGATTGGGGAGGCTAACACAGCAAAGATGTGTAAAGATATAGGAGAAAGAAAGAGCGAGAGAGAAAGAGAAAGAAAGAGACGTCTATATATTTTACAAGAAGAGGCAAATTAATAAATAGTTTAATGAATTCATTATTGATTGTTTATTTATTTATTTTATTTCGGTCAAACAGTACATGGGATTTAACGCAAAAGGAGAAGAAAAAAGAAGAAAAGAGAAGAAAAGAAAAAAAAGAAGAGGACGAATTTTTTTTTTTTCGCCTGTCTGTGTGTGAGAGAGGCTCTGTAAACTAGTTGCTGTAAAACAATGATAACCAGATGAAAATTCGAAGCCAAAAAGAGTGTATTATTACTAGAGTTTTTTTTTTTTACCCTCTTTTTCTTGGTTAATCCTTTGTAATATAGTGCTAGTTTGACTTTTCCTCTTATCCAATGTAAGGAAGAAAAGTATTCCTTATTTCCTTGTTGTTATTATTGTTTTTGTTTTCTTTTTTCTTTGGCTCATTTAAATGTATTCATATTTTCCTTTTTTTCCTTTTTCTCTTTACATCACATATCTATGTGCATGACACTACAATAATGGGGTAGGAAAGGTAAAAAAAAAAAAAAAAAAAAAAAGAAGGGTAGTGTTTTCATTATCTCTCTTTCTTTATCTCTATCTGTATATCTCTGTGTGTGGACTGTAGTGTTTCCCCACGTTTATTCTGGATTAGACACTCTTTTATTCACACGTACACATAAGAGTCTGTAAGGGGTGTGTTGTGAGCACAATATACACCCTTACTATATACAGTACATTATTATATATATATATATATAAAGACAGAATAGAAAGAAAGAAAGAAAAAAAAAAGAGAACAAGCAAATAAACCAATAAAATTGAAAATGTACGATTTAAATGTAAGTGGGGCAACACAGCCACCACCACAACGGAGTAGCGATAACAGAGTTGAGCATAAGAAGAGTGAGTTCATACCCTCCACAACGTACAATTTATATGATGAGCGAAACCCAAAAAGACATCAGGGCAGCAGCAGTAGTGAACACGGTGTATCTGAAGAAGGAATACATCCCTCATCGAAAGATACATTCAACAACAACGAGTGTGGGACTAACACAACAAAACACATGCGAAACCAAAATACACAATCACAATTACAATCACAACAACAACAGGGAAAGCAAATACAAGAAGGACAGGAACCACCATATAAACAACAACAAGAACAAGAAGAAGAAGAAAAAGAAATAGAAAGAAAACCATCATTGGTGGTATCTAGTGGTGTACGTGGTCCACACACACCTCTCTTCTCCTCTCCAAGTCCTGTCGCCGCACAGATGGAAGTCTTCACAGGCCCCGTTGTCCATGATATTATTATGCAAACCCGTTTAAACTTTCAAGCTCCACCCAAACTCACACTACAAACACAAACACAACCAACCCGTCCATGTCTCACTCCACCAAATAAATGTAATCATAGTCACAGAAAAGGAAATGAAATGACGCCGCCCTCTGCGGTGTTTTCCATGTCTCCAGGAGGCGTCACTTCACTTTCAACTTCACTACATCAGGGATCAGTGGCATCATTTAATAGTACCCCACGATCTCCAGAACCATCATGGTTAAAATTGGGAGAAAAGGTTCATCATCATGGACATATCTCTAAACTGGATAAAGTGGTTAGGCAAACACCTTTGCTATCGTTACCACGAGAGAACCACACTGATTTTAGTAATGGAGATATTTCCCCTGTTACTTCATTTCCCGTTTCTCTAATAAACTACCGATCACCAGTAGCAAGGAAGCACCCAACGCCAACGGGTAATGAAACCTCTAATTTATTTGGAACCCCCTTTCAGCAACAACTACAACTACAACAACAACTACAACAACAACAAGAGAAACAGGAATTAGCACAGCTTTCACCTTCTTCATTGATAAAGAAACCTTTTTCTCCCAAGAAAGATGATACATGGGGAAATAATGGAGTTCAAAGACAACAACAACAGCAACAACAAACACTGTTGCAGGTTTCTACTTCTTCAACAAATAAAAGCAGTGGTAGTAGTAATCGATGTAGTGCTTTGAATAGCACCAGTACTTACTCTAATGGTCGACTTGCAAATCTTAGCACATCCATAGCTGGCGGTGGAAGTGGTAGTGTTTCACTTCCGGCTATTTCAATCCCTAGTGGTACCTGTATTCCTTTAAAAACAGTACGAAATGGGAAGAATAACGGGGTGAATCATGTTGAGAAATCACCTGGACCTCCGTGGAGTTTGAGTATGCGAAATGGTTTCAGTGAATCTGGTTTAGGTATATCAGTTCCCTTTTCACCGAGAGGAGAAATGGGAAGTATTCGTAGTCCTCACAGAAAACAACAGCCGCAGCAAGATACCACAAATCGTAGTGTACAGGAGTTGTTGGTGCAGGAAATAGTTACTCAACTTCGACCAAAGTAAAAAAGGAATGAATTAGAGTAGGGACAGACAGACAGACAGATAGGCACCTTCTTTAAAAATGAAAGAAAAGAAGAAGTGGAAGAGGTGTGGTGTATTAATCTCTTTTGGTGTAGTGTATCAGAATCAATAGGGTTTTTCTTTGTTTCAGTTTTTTTTTTTTGTTTTGTTTTCTTTTCATTTTTCTCCTCTTTTATGTTTCTATTGTTTTTTTTTTTTTTTTATTTTTGCTATTATTGGAATTATCATGTTTGTTTTTACCCCCCTCCCTGTACCTCATGTGTAATGTATATTCTGAAGCCGCGAGGATTATTCCCTGTGTGTGTGTGTGTGTCAACAAATAAGAAAGTACAGAGAATAAAAAAGAAAAAAAAAAAGAGTATCAAAGAAAAAAAGAATCAAAAGATGGATATATGACTTTGTCTAAGAAGAAGAGAGAATAGTGTTGAGAGTGTAGTTGCAACTTAAAATGAATTAAGATAAGAAGAATGGGTAAAAATAAAAATAAAAAAAGAAGAAGAAGTACTGCTGTATTGGAACCTTGACACTATAAGTAGCGCTGTATTGCCGTCGTGGAGCCCTTCTGCTGCTGTTTGTTTGTTTGTTTTCTCTCTTTTCCCTCTCTGTAAGAAGAAGAAGTGAAGAAAAGAAAATGAGAAGGGGTACAGGGGATAAGAAGGGGGCAAATCTGCAAGTTATGTGTATTGATTGATTAAGTTTATGTGTGTAGTAGACCTTTATTATTATTATTATTATTATTATTATTATTATT